AAAACCATTTATTTTTGGTAATTTTCGTCTAATAGAAGGTTCATCAGACGACACAGTTGATAAGCTCAATATGATAAAATTGGACAATGAATATAAAAAACAACAACTTATAGAAGATCTAAAAAACGGAACAAGATATAAAGATTTTTTAAAAAATCTGGATAAGCTTCCCACATCCGTGCTCGATTCAGTATTGGGATTAAAAACAATTTCAAAAGATTTGGATGAATTGGGAAATCAACTAAAATATATTCCAGAAAAGAAATTCTATCCAAAGAATTTCTTATTTTACGGTGATTCTGGTTCTGGAAAAACATCATTGATTCAAAAAATAAGCAAAATATTATCAAAAGGAAAAGATATTTGCAAGAAGGCAAACGATTCAAAATATTTTGATGAATATAATAATCAAGAAGTTATTTGCAAGCAAGAATTATCACATGACACTTGGAAGTTTCAAGATCTTTTGAACCTTTGTGAAAAAGATGAATGTATCATCAAACAACGAAACAAAAAACCTATAGAGGTTGTGTCAAAATATAATATTTTTACGGCTCAAGATTTGTTTGATGATATATTTAGTTTTAGAAAACGTTTTTTTGATAATAGAGTTTATATTAAAAGTGATGAGTCGAGAATAGCTCTGCATAGAAGATTTTCAAAATCATTAGTGTATACTCATAGCTATATGATCAAGATGTTGGGGTGATATGTTGATGGAAAGGTTAATTATGGTTTTGCATGGTTAGAACCTGATAAACCAGGTGACTTGTTAGATTTTATTAATGGTAGATTTCATATTAAATTTGCAGAGGATGTTAATATTGAAGAGGCAAAGAGATATGTTTATGATGATGATTTTGAGAATTTGTACGAACATGATGGTGATGTTTTCATGAAACGGGAGATAAATATGAATGTAGTATTGGGCGGTGTGATTGGAAATGTAGATGTTGACAATCACAGTTTTACTGTTTACAATCGGTATTGGATTGGTGATCTTCCTTCCAATATCATTATTCCAAATAATATAGAATCATTGCATAAGAATTTACGTCAAAAATTGCATTGGGTTGAGACAAAGCCCATTAATTTTATTGAAAATAATGTAGAATTGATTCTAGACCCACAAATAGAATCAAGCACTAAACGTAAATTAGATGATACAGAAATAGAAGATAGAGAAAAAGAAAAGCATGTAAAGCTAAATAATTTTTAAAAATAGAATTTTTTTTTTTAACATTATACAATAAAATTATCTATATTATTTTTATTCAAATAACCAAGAATATTAATTACATAACTTATCAATTATTTGAGGATCATTAATATCCTCGATGAATAATTCTGAGCAACATGAGCAATTAATAAAGATATAATTCTCCACTTGATAGCATTGTTTTATGTCTTCTAGATCAAAATTGTCAAGAAATTCTCTTGATTCTTTTTTTAAAACCGTTAACAATCGGTGACTCAGTTGATATGCAACATCGTTTTTTTTTAGGTATGTGTTAAACAGTTTTTTGGCTAGTTGTATGCAGCTTTCTTTTTGTTCGTTGTTTATTTTTGAAAATACAGGTGGCATTTTGTTTTTCTTTGTTTTTCACAGAGTTTTTTTTGTCCTGTTTTTATAACTTTTTCTTGAAAATCTTTTCCAGTTCTGTCTGTTTATCAGAATAGTCATATAGGATTTCTTTGATCAATTTCTCATTCTTTTCAAGTTGAAAGTTTCTTTTTTCTAACTCAAGAACGCGTTCTTTATATTGTTTTACTAGCTTTGTCAGTCTTATTATCTCATTTTTCACATGTTGAGGTTTGAAAAACAAACAATCCAGATTCTTTTTAATGCACCGTTTACAACGTTCATTCTTTTTAACTTTCATGCATTTGATTCTAAGATCTCTACAGATCGTGCAACTTGTGCATTTGGTTTTATATGTTGGATCCATATTAACTTGGTTAATTTTTATTCAACTTTATATTTATAATGGAAAATAGGTTACAAATTATGGAAAATTAGGGTAAATTACAACTTTTAAACCAAAATTACAGGAAAATTTAATCAAATTGTTGGAATTTTATTTTGATATGTATTAGCCGTATTTTTAATAATAAAAACACGTTGCCCGAATCAAACTGCGAGGAAGTTACATATCACTCGACTCTAAAAAACAAGAGCAAACGATCAATTCGAACGTGAATCCAAATTACTGGGGAGATTATGTTCGGATCCCAAGCCATGAATAAACAATAACCACGATCGTAAAACTTATGTAAATTTTGACTTTTGTTGTTCAGGTACAGCTGCCAAAAGCCTAAATATCAGTGTACTGAGTCGCATCTCAGCGTTATAAGCCTTACAATTTAACCGGTAAATTGTTGTAGTATGCCCTGAGATGACTAACATTTGAGAGTGCTTTTTATTCTCTATGGTAGAAAAAAGCCTAAACACATCCGTTCCTCAAGATGTTTCTCAAGGTGCATTTAAAAATGCAAACACTAAGTTTTTCGTTCGCTCTCGAGGTGGAAGAGCCTGGCCAAAACTTAATAACGACTATCTGAAGCGATAAAAATTTGACTCTTTTGCCCGTGTCAACCAGAGAAACATGAATACGCTTCACCAAAGAGATGGTTATCTCATGCGTCATTCGCTGCCTCACATCATGT